TGGAGGAGTATCTTAGGTTAACTGATGTGGTAAGATCCAGCCCACTGGGGGCATGAGTGGCACCATTCCCTACTCAGTGAGCCCTGAAGCGTATTAAAGTAGAGAAGTGGAGCTGAGCATAAGCAAGCAGGCAAGCAGGCAAGCATGTGGTTCTGCTCTTGACTGTGGGATGATGTGACTAGCTGTTCAAGGTTCCTGTCTCGACCTCCTCACAGTGATGGACGATAACCTGGAATTACAAGCTGCAGTCAGCCCCTCTCGGCCTTCAGCTGCTTCTTGTCAGGTGCTTTGGCACAGTAGCAGAAAGGAAATGAGAACACTCCTCAGACCTTGACATCCACACACAGCGTCCAAGGATCTTGACGTATAAATGCAAGTTCAGATGGATCAGCTCAATCCAGGCTTGAAGTTTAGCATTCTGTTCTCCCTGGTGATGTCTTTGTTGCTGGTCCCCAGACTACAATTTGAGTCCTAAGAGGTAAGGATAATGAAGTGTGGCCAGTGTGCAGTGTGGTTGGCCAGTGTGTAGTGTGGTTGGCCAGTGTGTAGTGTGGTTGGCCAGTGTGTAGTGTGGTTGGCCAGTGTGCAGTGTGGTGCCCAGTGTGCAGTGTGGTGGCTAGTGTGTGGTGGCCAGTGTGCAGTGTGGTGGCCAGTGGTGTGCAGTGTGGTGGCTAGAACTGTGTAGATGCTTGTCGAATGGCAGCTATTGGGCCACTCAAGGTGTAACGTATCCAAGCTGATTATCACACAGAGGGTATCAGATGTCCTTATAAGTGATATATATTATAATTTTCACAATAATCCTATGAGCCAAAAATACACTCTAGTTATTTTGAACTGCTCAAAGTGACTCCATTTTATTCTAGTTTTAGCTAACTTCTTGCTCCATCCAACTGCTCCCAGCCCCGACTCCACCCCAACTAACCACGTCTTGCAGAGCAGAACATTCTCTCCTGCAATGTAAGGAGAGCCATTGTTTTACAACATAAAACACGTTGTTTTAATCCACTGAACTGAAACTTTGGAAACTCCTGTTATCTGGCCTGCCCCTGGTGTGATGTGATTGTGGGGTTTGGCTTTAAAAACTCTTCCCTGCCTCACCTCAGGGTTGACTGTCCTTTTAGGCATGAGCTTGCTCTCAATCACCAGCAAATAAGACTTAATCCAACCTTCATTGCATAGCAATCTTCTGTTTCTCAAGTGGATACAATAATTTAAGGGACAAAGTCATGGTTTGAAGTCTAATTTCCTCCCTAAGTTGCTGCTCCTGGCCATAGTACATTACAGAGCCAATGGAGAACAAAGCAGCTCAGGTGTCAGCAGCAGGCCACTCTTTCTTTAAAAAAGTAATACCTTGAGCTAGGGACATCACCCAGTTGATAAAGTACTTGCCACACAAGCTTGAGGATATTTGACCCCAGCCCCCAAAGGCTGGGTATGGTGGTGTTAGTGTGAATGTGAGTCTTGGGGATAGAAAGAACAAGACATGTGAATGCCTCCGGCTCCAGAGCCAGCCAGCCTAGTCTAATAAAGAGCAATAGTTCCCAGCGAGAGAACATGTCTGGGAAAACAAGGTCGACAATTCCCAAGGAACTACAACCAAGATCAACAGCTAGCCTCCAGGTGCATGCACACCCACACACATAAACACACCCACACACACACACAGAGAGAGAGAGAGAAAGAGAGAGAGAGAGAGAGAGAGAGAGAGAGACAGAGAGACAGAGAGACAGAGAGACAGAGAGACAGAGAGAGAGAGAGAATATTGCTCTATGCAGCTTTTATAAATTCCAAAATTATATCAAAACTTAAAAGTCACACACACACACACACACACACACACACACACACACACACACACAGAACCCAATTTCTTTTTCTTCTAAAGCTGATGTTGCATGAAGTGGGGGGTCGTCTGTGACAGACAGCCCTCCATTCCTTGGATTTGCTAAGGAGTGAAAGTGGGACCAGTTTGCAGACATATCTCCTAAGACAAAATATATGAAAAGAGAGGAAAGACGTAGACCTTGGTTTACTGTTTTTGACTTTGGAATTCAAAGCCTCAGAGCTCGTGAGAGCTCCAGACCTTGAACACTCACTTAACTGCTCTGTGTCTCGGTATCATTGTCTGACGAATAGGCTCATCATGCTGCCTATCTCATTGGGTTCTGAGGATTAAGTGAATCAATAAAAGCTTAGAATGGTGGCTGGATCAATAAACATGAGCTATTTTCCTAGGCATTGTTTCAAGGGAATCTGTGTGAGGCTTTTTAGAAAGAAAAATGAAATCCGAAGCCTGGCATGCAAGCTTCATTTTCCCTCCAATGCTTTGCTTCTTTGCTTTAAAAAAATGACCTAATGAAGGCTTATGTTTGTCAGACGTAAGGCAATTCTTAATGATGGGATTAGGCACCAGGAGCCCAAATGTGATAATGCTGTTTTTTTGAGGGCTGCAACAATTCCATATGTGGTGTAAAAAAGCTTCCCGATAGGTGTGGCAGGCTCCAAGATTGTTTAAATGAACCGAGAAGTTAGGGTATCTGTTTGTATAATCCGTTCAATTGGAGCTACCATCATTTGCCCAGAAGAAGTACGTGAGGGCTGTTCTGAAAATTATAGTAAGATAGAAGTGCAAGGCAAAAGCCCCACACAGAGTCAGAGAGTCTTTGGGCAGTGAGTTCAGAAGAGAAAACACACGGTAAACACACTGTCTTCAACGGACGGCCCTCTCGTAGTGAGCAGGGGAGATTAGCAGAAGGCTGCAGTGTGCCCACTGGAGAAGAACAGGGTTTGCTGAGCGGCCCTGAAGATGGGGCTGTCGTGTCGACAGCTTCTCTCCTTGCCAGTGTCACCAGCAGCGAGGTCATTCGTTACATCTGAGCTGACAAGCATCATTTAACATCTTTTCTAAACTGTTAAATTTTCAAAATGCCGAGCTGTCTCCCAGAACCCTGGGGCAAGAACATGCCCACACAATGGAGAGGAGAGCAGCTAAAAATGATAGCATGGAGTGTCAAGTGTATTACAGCCGGCAGCGTCTCCTCCCATAGCATTTCATCCTTTCCCTCTGAACCCCGAGACGAGGAGGGCAAGCAGGCTCTGACTAAGGATGTATCCACAAATCAGAAGCGAACACTGACTGCCCAGCAACCCATCAGGCTGGGGTGCATTCAAGGAGATGCGATTGCACCATGGTGTCACCTTCTAAATGTCAGGGCAGACCTCCACCACCAGCCCACCCTGTCCGGGTGTCCTGCTAGGCAAGAGGGATGCAGTGAGGACAGCAAAGAACTCCCTCTCATCGTTTTCTCTTTGTTTCTCTACCTAAGATGGCTGCCCATCTTCCCAGTGGTTTGCAAACTGTCACAAGCTTATCCGTTGATTCTCAGCCACATGCACTGTGTGTCAACCAAATTTCTCACCTAGCACTTCCAATGCACAACTCACTCTCCAGAGAAAATGAAGTGGTCTAGCACAGCTGAATCCATTAGTTATTGAGTGGAACCACATGACATTTTCATTTTTTCCAGGTCAGAAATGGTCAAATGTTGGTAATGTCGTACGGCTTAATCTAGCATTCACGGGCAGTGGGAGAAAAACGACCTTGATTTTGATAAATCGTCTCAGAAATTCTGTGAGCATGTACTGCATAGGTTTTAGTTAGAAGAGTAAACTTTAGAGACTAGACATGTGAATAACTCCTAGTTTCTACACACATTGAAACGCCACACTGAAATAAAAAGGAACAACTTGCCCATACACACAGCATGGATAAGCAAGACCAGACATGTTGATTGGAATAAGTCAGATACAAAAGACTAGATGGTGAATGATTCCATTTATATCGAGACTCAGAATAAGCTTGTAATCAAAGTTAGAGGAGTAGTTATGCTGGGCTATATGGCTTGGTAAGGAACAGGGAGAGAATTTATAAATGCCAAAGGTGTTCTGATCCTTAATCACAACCTGGTCACAGAGGAGTAAAGTACACAAGAATCCATCTGGAGCTGACGAGCAGGCTCCATCAACGAAGCTACACAAGCATGAGCCCTGGGTTCAGATCCGCAGCAACTAGGTAAAAAGCCTGATATGGTGGCACAAACCTGTAATCCTAGCACTGGAGAGGTGGAGACAGGGGAGTACCCAGGCTTGCCAGCCAGCCAGCCTAGCCTACTTAGCAGGTCCAGGACAGGGAGAGACCCTGTCTCAAAAACACAAGGTAAACAGCCCCTGAGGAATGACAGCCAAGGTTGAGTGAGATCTGGCCTCCACATGCATGCCTCTGTGCACATGCATTTTTGCACATGCGTGCACACGCACGCACACTCCATTCATGTGTGTGCTTTAAAAGCACTGCATTTTTCCATGTTGTTAAATGGGTACACAAGGTTATACGCCAATAAAAGGAAGGAGGAAGAAAGTCACCGTCTCTAATCTCTGCTTTAGAACAGTGCTATGAACATGTGTGACAGCCGATTGCATCTGCCACTGACTCGTTAATTGACCCTCAAGAATATGCTTCCCTTCTCTAAGTCTGTTTTTCTCACCCTCCCGAAGCCTAACTAATAGAGCTTTGGGGATATTACATAAGATAACGTCTGTGAGGCCCTTAGCACCGAACGTGTGCTCCCAAAGAAGCAGTTACTCTCCAGTAACTCTGTCAACTTTGCCCATAATGAGACACCTCACCTCTCCCACATTCAGCAACGTCTGGAGAATTCTTCCCCTAGAGCACACTTAATCGCTCATGCCCTCCCTGGTGGAGGGTGAGAACAAGACCAGCGCCAGTACCTCTTCCCATCCGCCCTTCCTCACGTACCAGCAAGGCATCCGGGAGGTTGTGCTCCTCCGTGAAGGTTACAACTGCTGTGACGATGTCTGCTGCGTGGAGCTCCAGCAAGGCTGTGCCGACAGAGGTCGCGTTGTAGTTCCTGCCGGCCTGGAAGAACACAGCCACCTTCCTTAACAGGAGGCCCGAGCGCACACGTTTGAACACGTGCCTTGCCACAAACCTCATGGTGGCCCCAAGGTTCCGGGACCCGGATGAGCGTTCAAGGGGGATTTTCCTGGCAGCCTGTAGCAGGGCAGCTTTCCGCTGATGGTCCGGGAAGCGCACTAGGTAATCTGTCCTCGTGTTATAGGAAACAATGGCCACTCGGGCACCAGCGGGGCAGTTGCTCTCACTGATGTCCAGCTTCATCAACAGAGACAGTAGAATGCTTCTCATCCTCTCAAAGTCCAACTGGGAGACATCGTTGGACATGTCCAAGGCAAAGACCACTTCTGAAGGGAATGCTGGGCATCTAGAAATCCCTTGACACAGGGACACACAGAGCTTGAGATGTCTATGCTGCCTCTAGGTGGGGGAGGGCTTACCTGAGCAAAGAGCGTTACCTACCTTTTGAACACGCTGGAAGGGAAAAGAAGACACTGTTAGTGTACATGGGCCGTTTGCACTTCAGTGTAAAATACACTCTTTCGATCTGACAGTTTTTCTGTGGCACTCAAGCTAACCTTGGACTTAAAAATCCTCCTGCCTCAGTCTCCCAAGTGCTGGGATTTTTCAAGCCATGTCTGTTTTTAAAAACCCTCTCTACTGAGAAATCCAAATGGCCTTCTAGACACCACCACCCCCAGTTTGGCAAGGGTTGCTGCTATTTGCCCAGCATCCACTCTCTTATTTTTTTCCATTATAATAGGGCATCAGTTTCCACCTGAGTACATGGCTGCCTGAAACACAGGACACACTTTCCCGGAGCTAGCTGGCTTACTACATTCTGGATAATAGAATAAGGAAAACGGTAAGACTTTGCAAATGCATCTTTATACCCTAATGGAGCCCATTACTTGATGGGCTAAAAGACAAGCCAGAGCACCCTTTGTTTGTCCTTTGCCCTTTGCCCTTTGCCCCTGCTCTCCCCCCTCCTTCCAGGCTGGCTGAAATGCAGATAACAATGACTGAAGCTTGATTAACTGCTCAGACATGAGATAATTTGGGAAAAACAGCATCTATACCTACCTACCTACACACACACACACACACACACACACACACACACACACACACACACACACACTGACAGAGAAGCAGATACAAGGAAATTCCATCCTGGAACCCCTGGAACAGGTCCCACCCCCCAGGACTCCATATCATGCCCAAGCTTTGACTCGAGAGACACATTTCCCCACTGTTATGAGGACTTTGGTTACCTTCAACTAAAATTAAATCCAACTAAAACACTAAGCTATTCTGAAGCTGTATTTTACATGTATCTCATATATACATAGTCATAAAATATAAATCATATACAATGTATATGTATATCTTATATAAAAGTATATATGTGCATATATATGAGCAACATATGCTCATAAAAATTAAGATTGTCCTTAGTACACCATCTGTGTATCCATACATAAAAACCTTTTCATCTTATTTGATAAAACTTGGAGCTTAAAGTGTGTTTAACTCTGAATCACGTTCCACTTGGTATGACATTTTTTATCAGTAAGTGCCAAGTGCTGTCATATACTCCACTATGTTTATGTCCCTTGATTTTTTCAGCCAATGTCTCTCAGGAAAAGCATACACGTACAAGTATCTGTGACTATTTGTCCAATTACAGTCTGTGTCTATCACTTTATGCATTTTTATATGGCTGGTCCAATTGCTCTTTAGAAAGCATTTTAGTAGTTCCACAAGTAATGTGTGCTTTCACACATTCTCCAAATTAGGGGTCTGGATTATTTTGATTTTTTTTAAATATTTCCAATTTGAAGCCTAGGCCTGGTGGTACAAGCCTATATTCCTAGCTCTTGGGAGGGGGATTACAAGTTAGTGCATGAGGATTACAAGTTTGGATTAATAATCTGCATTATACATAAGGAGTTCTAGGCCAGATAGGGCTAGTTAGCAAGAACCCACCTCTGAAGAGCAAAACTATATAAATAAATATGCTTTTATATATGTATGAATATATAGCAATTATGTATATGCTTCCAGTTTGAGAACAAAAACGAGCATTATCATTGTTTTAACTGATGGTCTTTAATTTCCACTGAGGGTCACTATCCCCACAGGTGCCTTGTTAAGTTTTTCTTCTCTGACTCCCCCTTTCATGTCCTTTGCCTAGTTACAACTCAAAAGTTTCTTGTTAAATATTTAGATTTAGCTTTCCAAACATGTCTGTGTTTATAGATAAAGATGATTTGCAGCAGCAATTTTTATCTTGACACGACCTAGCACACTGGGCCCTCTCCTGGAGTCTTGCTTCTATCTCAAATGTTTTTCCTTGCTTTTCTATTTGCTTTTGACCCTGTGGAAGTCCTCAATGAAAAGGGGTTTTAACTTTCTGTACAGCTGTTCTTCCTTTCTGTCCAAGGTGATAGTATTACTCTGTGTGACTTCCATGGAAACAGATCCTGCAATCTCCCTGAACAGCAGCAGGGAGTAGGCAGAAGCCAGGAGGCTGAGCAAGAAGGCAGTTGTAGATAAAACCCAAACTTCTAAGTGCTCTCCCTATCACAGTAAGGGAAGGAGCGTGCTCTCTGTAGCTATAAGTACCCACAATGTTTTGTAAAGAGAGTGCATCAATGTCAACTAGTTACGGGACAAAGCAGGACCTGAGACCTAGTGGTTTCTATTTCTGCAAAGGAAGTCCCAATCAAATGGGGCATATTCCTCTCCCAAAACACCATCATGGATCCTGCTTGTTGAAATAAAAAGAACAGCACTTCCCATGCTCTGTTTCACGCACCAGGATTCAGGCACACGGGTGTGTGAGTGTGGTTATATTTTGGGGGACCCAGCCTTATAGGGTGGAGTTTTTCTTCATTATTGAGAGAGTATGCCTTTCAAATACTTCATTGTAGAGCCCATTGAGGAAAAGATGACTTATTCAATTGGAGATTGGGCCCAATCTGTCCATTTAGAAGATCTTTTTATGATGGACAAGTGACTTCTCAAGCCTCAGTCAAATCCTTAGTGGCTCATGCCCTTAGTCCTTGATCCCCGCCCATCCACACCACCTGCTCCATCTGAGTGTCTCCCAAACAACTTACGGCAGCTTTCCCGAATGAAATCAACAATTTCACAAGGCTGTAGAGAGATGGGGAAAGACAGAAAGGAAATAAGCATTTAATGTGAAGCAGACTTCACTGGCGTGACTTGAAATGCCATGTGCACGTTATCAGGACCTATCTGAAGCATTTACATATGTAACAGAAAACCACAAAATTGTTAGAGCTGATGACACCACCTAGCGATTCTATTTCGAGATCCGGTAGCTAATTTAAAACATTTAAAGAATTTTGAATAGTGTGTTGAGGTTGGCCAGGGATAATTCTTTACTTTGTAACCTGCCTCACAAATCGATGGGACCAAACCTGATTTTGAAGTTGAAATCCAGGGACCTCAGCAGAGAATTCTGGGACTGCTGCCCGTGTATGCATTCTTATAGCAGCATTTGCTAGAACACTTCTTTAGAAGGACTGCCAAGACAGGTGTCCCCTACATGCCCCACCCCCATAATTCTACCTCTTTCCTCTTATCCCTTCCTCTCCTCTTCTCTCAACCTCAGACCCCATCACTTCCTGTTCTTCAGATGTTTCCACATCCTCCAATGCCTACCTAGCATAACAGTCTGTGTGTACTTAGAAGAGAAGCACTCGTCATAATTTCTGGGGTTGTTTTTAAGGGGTCCCACAAGTCGCAAAAGCCTATAACTATTCTGTGAACTAGGTTATTGAAAATGTATAGCTTTATAAGCACTATTTTTAACATTATAAAAGAACACACTGCAGGAAGGTGATAGCTTCCAAATGTTTTCTTTTGTGTCACTTAATGTTTAAAATATTATTCTACTATTTTTACAGTGGCATTTCTGGGAAAATTCTGTAAACTTATAGTATCAGCAGAATTCATTAAAAGAAAGAAGCTTCAAGATTAACAAACCTCCCTCTGTGGCTATAGAAAGATTGATGTTGTGAAATGAGTGGATTTCCAAATCAAGAATCTTCACCTACCGTCCTATCTGCCAAACCTTTTGAACCCTTGATGCCCTGGAAAGAACAGAAACAAGGTTCAAAATGCAATAGTCTAATTCCCAGCACTTTCTTCTCCACGACCAACTGGAGACTCTGAGTGTTCAGCACGGCGCATACACTGCCCTTCTCTCCTGGCCCTGGAGTTCTGCCCAGCCCAGTAGGGAGGACAGAGTGCCTGAGCAGTACATCCCAGACCTCAGAGTCCAGGTAGATGGGACACAGACTCTTAGAAGACCAGGTAGTTTTGAGACCAATCCATAGTTCAAGTTCAAAAACTGGTCATTCAAGATCCTACCACAAGCTATTCCAAAGCACATCCTGGTATCTCCCCTATTCCTGCTCTTCAGGCCTCTCATCTCTACCCTGAATCTGCCCTCATAGTAAAGGAACCCTCCCTGAAGCCTTCCAACTCCAGCTGTCTGGCTCCAGCCCCTCTGCGAGTCTAGAAAGTCTTTGTTTAGACTCTACAAGGCAGTAACTTGTAGCCTTAGACAAGTCACTGTACTGAAACCGACTCAATCTGCATTGCACCATCAAATGGCCATGAACTACCTCTGAGATGTTTGGTTTTCTGACTTAATTGTTCTCCAGTAAAAATCCTGAGCTCCGGTGAGCCCAGCATGTCCTTCTCCCACCCCTGACTGATGAATACACTATCCCTCACAGAATGACAGCCCTGTGCACTGGTTACTTTCCATCAACTTGATACAAACCTAGACATACCTTGGAAGAATTAATCTCAACTGAAGAATTGTCTCAGCCTGGCCTACGGACATGCCTATGAGGCATTTTCTTGATTGCCAGCTGATATAAAAGGTCCCAGCTAACTGTGGGTAGTACCACCCCTAAATAGATGGACCACTATCCCAGGTAGGGGACAAACCTGTAAGCAGCTGTCCTCTGTAGTCTGCTTCAGTCCCAGCCATCAAGCTCCTTCCTGCCTTGAGTCCTTGCTTTGACTTACCTCAATGATAGACTGTAACCTGTAAGCTGAATAAACTCATTCCTCCTCAGCTTGCTTTTTGTCAATGTTTTCTCACAGCAACAGAGAAGCAAACTATATTAACCCAGTCTCTAAAACAGGGCTTAGGCCAGAGCCTCAGTGTCTTTCCATGTCCCAGAGAATTCTAAAAATTCTTCTAGTCCTGCAACATTATCAGTTCAGTTAGCGTTGTATGGTTGGGTTGGCAGTGGTGGCACACGCCTGCTGGGGATGCTGTGAATGTGTTGCTCTGACTGATTAATAAATAAAATGCTGATTGGCCAGTAGCTAGGCAGGAAGTATAGTATAGGTGGGATAAGGAGAAAGGAGAATTCTGGGAGGTGGAAGGCTGAGTCAGAAGACACTGCCAGCTACCACAGCCATGAGAAGCAAGATGTAAGGTACCAGTAAGTCACAAGCCATGTGGCAACTTATAGATTAATAGAAATGGATTAATATAAGATATAAGAACTAGATAGCAAGAAGCCTGAGCCATTAGGCCAAACAGTTTAAATAATATAAGCGTCTGTGTGTTTATTTGGGTCTGAGTGGCTGCGGGTCTAAGCAGGACTGGAGAAAACTCCAGCTACATATGCCTTTAATCCCAGTACTCGGGAGGCAGAGGCAGGAGGATCTCTGTGAGTTCAAGGCCAGCATGATCTACAGAGTGAGTTCCAGGACATCCAGGGCTACACAGAGAAGCCCTGTCTAAATAAGGATTGCCGGGCTGGAATATTTCATTAAGATTTCCTTCTGGTTTCTCATGTCGGTCATTGTGTTTGCATTCGTAAGCACATTCTCCCTAAGCTTTACATCTTGGCTCATGTGTTTAAGAAGATCCATAAAGCTCTAGCTACTGAGATCGCCTCTAGATTCAAAGAAAAAAATCTACATATGGAACACTCTGTGTAGGGTTTGAAGTTAGTATTCTCTGAGCCGTTTGCCTGTGCCCTTGACCCTGTTCAACGTCTAAGGTGCTTGTTTCTTCTTCAGTGAGGCTGCTTATCAAACTCTTACTCATCTTGGCACAAGGTTGAAAATTAAAAAAGAAAGGGTACTTGTTACCATTTTTCCTGGTGGGCCTTGGTCACCTGGAGTTCCAGCAAACCCAGGAAAGCCAGAATTACCCTAAAAGTGAAAAATCAAAAAGGAATAAGGTTCCCTGTTGGCTACAAGAACTGACCCTCCTGAAACATCAAACTGCTTCATATCTAAGACCAATCAGACTGTTGTTGACCTCTGTTAATGATGTATTCATGGAGAGAAACAGGGGACCAGACAACTCCCTTCTAGCCCCTATCTTACCCCAGCTTGCCCATGGGCGATAGACACACAAATACATTTCCACGCAGAGCCTTAAAAGATGACTTAACCCTCAGCCAAGTCTAAGGGCGTGTGATAAACATACTCATGAGGTCTGCATTGAGGGTCTGACTCTGGGGAAAGGAAAAATTCCTACAGCACTTTCTGAGCCTCGGTGTCTCAGGAAAGATTTTGGGTGACCAGGAGCTCACTGCTTGTATTCTAGGTATTTGAAGTAACACAGCACACTTATTATCTGGATTTAATCAATGCCTTATCTTTTTTATTTGAAAGTAGAAAGATAAGTTAACAATCAGAGCAACCATAAGCAGCAGCAAGCTGAGCAAGCATGGCTCTGACTATCATCATGACCTTGCCCGTAGACGAAAACACCAGTCACTGAGTCCGAGGAAGACACACGCTCTCTGGCTTTTCCTCCCTTCTGCTCTGAATGCAGGCTCATGTCCCGGTCCCAGAAGGCTTTACTGTAAATATTTTTAAATACATTTATTTATTCATGAGTGGGTGTGTGTGTATGCCATGGTGTACCTGCGGAGACTAAATGACAGCTTATAGGAGCCGTCTCTCTGCTTTCACCACGTGGGTTCTGGGGCTCAAACTCGGGCTGCTGGGCTTGGTGGCCAGTGCCTTTACCCGATGTGCTAGTTAGTTCTTTGTCAACCAGGCACAAGCTCAAGTCACTGGGAAGAGAGATCCTCAACCGAGAAAATGTCCCTAGTAGGTTGGCTCACATCTGTGAGACATTTCCTTTATTAACGACTGGAGTGGGTGTGCCATCCCTGGCTGGGCAGGTGGTCCTGCCTTGTATTCGAAAGCAAACTGAGCACACCGTGAAGGGCAAGCCCCTAAGAGCATTCCTCTACGACTTCTGCTTCAGTCCCTGCCTGACTTCCCTCAATAACGGACTGTGACATGGAAGCGTAAGCCACATAAACCCTCTCCTCCGCAAGCTGCTTTTGGTCGTGGTGTTTATCACAGCAGCAGAAACTGGAACATTCCCTGAGCCACTTCACCAGCCCAAGGCTTGCTTCCTAATGTCTATCAGCTAAACACTATCCAGATCTTAATATCCACGGAGTCACTCTCTTTCAAAATGAGTTGCCATTGACTGTGGCTCTGCAAGATCTAATCTTCATAGCTGGACATGATGGCATGGTTGGGAAGTGCAGGAAGAAATATCAGGGATCTAAGGAAGGTCTTATTTATGTAGCAAATTCAAGGCCAGTATGGGCTATATCCGTGCCTGTGGTGACAACGGGTGACCCTTTGGTTCTTACCCTCTTCCCTTGGACTCCCTTGGCCCCCTTCACTCCTCTGCGGCCTGGGTCGCCATCTTCTCCCTTGTCAAAGACAAAAGCCGAGTTCTGAATGTAAAGAAAGATGTGCAAGCATGTGACAGTGCACAGCAGTTGCCAGGCCCACAGAGAACTCTTCTTACCTGTGCACCAGGAGAGCCAGGGAATCCGGGTTCACCCTACAGTCAGAAATGAGACAAGATAATGATCAGGGCCAGATGACTAAGCTTTTCCTCAACATTCCTGCTTGAAAGAAGAAACTCATCACATGGCCACATTTCACTCCTGCAGGTCAACAATGGGAAATAGTTTTTACAATTTCCCCCCTCTCTGATGCAGGGTCTAGTGAAACTTCGTTCTTGGGCATTTTATTTCAATTTAAAGCCCTTGAGATTTGCACCAGCAGAAAGCAAGGGAGGACATTGACCTGAGTTTGGGGAAGAAGGAGCACGGGCATGCTTCAAAGAGATCATCCATCCCACAGGCATTTCTTCAGCTCTTACTGTTCACCAGGTGGTCCTTTAAGCACTGGGGACTTGGCAGTGAACAAGAGACCCCCCCCCATAAAACTTACATTCTGGAAGAGGCAAGTGAGCAAGAAATAAATAGCGTCTCAGAGCTGAATAGTATTCCAGAGAGAGAATTAAGAAATTAAAGAAATGGGCTAGTGAAATGGTCCAGTAGGGAGAAACACTTGCCACCAAGCCTGAACCTGAGTTCAACCCTTGAGACTCAAGATGATAAAGAGAACCAGCTCTACCAAGCTGTCCTTTGACCTATGCACACAGGTCATGGCACATGTGCTCTTACACACACGGACATACATACATACATACATACATACATACATACATACAT